TAACTACTAGCTGTAACCTTTCATTGGAGTTTTCTAAATCTCCTGAGATTTTTTGACCAACAAAAGCAAAATATATGATTTGATTATGTTGTAGCTAGAATTCAATGAAATAACATCAAATATTGATTTAATTTAATTTAACTAAAGTTTACTAGCATTTGCTAAGCCTCTATCCTATGTTAAGTACTATAATAGATGCTGGGATGTAAAAGTAAGTACTTCATAGTCTCTTTTCCTAAGGAAATCACAGTTATTGAGGGAGAGGGAGATATTGCTTATCATAGTAACTTAAAGACTTCTTAAATCCTTCAGCTACTGTGGTAAGCAATGAGAATGAAAATAAAAAAGAAGAAGGTGACAGAAGTTCATAACGTTAAGGAGAATCCAGATGAACTTAAAATTGCAATGCATAGTGGCTAAGGCACTTACTTGACTTATAACCAGAAGGCTGGTGGTTCAAACCCATCAGCCACTCCTTGGAATGAAGATGGGGCAATCTACTTCGGTAGTGATACTGCCTCGGAAACCCAAGGAGGGGTCGCAATCGACGGCACATAACAACAACAACATATGAGGAGTAGGAGTACAGTTACTGATAAATGTACTTGATTTGATGGCAGTGGGTTTTTTGGTTGTACATGATGTGGGCTATTTATACTTGGTTGCTGGTATTATGAAAGTCTTAAAGTATTAGCAGAACCGGGTTTTGAAAGATCTTTAGATTATTTATTGTGGACTTCAGTGAAGGGAGTAATTGTTGACAATATGGAAGAGGCTTTTAATTCATATATAATAACATGTCGAAACTTAACTCAGAGAGACAAATTCTACTGTTAAGAAATTAGCACTTAAGTGAGAAGTAGACTAAATATGACACAAAAAGGAGAGTTGAGGTAAATGGAAAATGGCACATACTCTGCCTTTTTTAATTCAGCTTCAACTATTTGGTGTCATGTCTAGATAGCAGCCCTGTGATATTATATTTTCCAATGTTACAATAATAATAATAATAAAGACAGAAAAGAGAAAACTTGAGAGTAGAATACATTTTTAAATGTTTTAATTTTGAAAGTTGTCTAAGTATATTAAACAAAATATATAAGCTTGGTTCTTGGGCAACTAAATAATGACTTCTTTTTCAGAATGTCTATGCAGATTAATTCATTCATTTGTACACCATTAACTGAGGAGCTACACTCTATT